GCAGAGATCTGTCCCCAGGCAGAGATCTGTCCCCTCCCAGCCCCAGTCCCTGTCCCCAGGCAGAGAGAGCTCTGTCCCCTCCCTGCCCCAGCCCAAGGGTTCAGGGCTCCTCAGGAGTTTCAGGTGTGTCAGCATGGAGAGTGCTCAGAGCACAGAGGAGCTCCAGCAATAAATCGATTGTTGGGTGAGCTGTGGGCTGAGCTTTGGCACCGTGCTGTTCCCTGTGCAGGGCCTGGTGCTGTTCCTGCCACAGGAGCTCTCATGGGCAGAGCACTTCACCCTTTGGCTGCAGCCCAGAAGTGTCCTGGGAGCTCTGCTAACCTCAGTTACCACCAGGTTCTCAGTGACAAGTGAACAGATAACAAGTCAGAGATAGCCCCTGACAGTGAGGAGAATTTCCAGCTGAATGAATTCCAGGGAGGGCCTGGGTGCGGTGCTGAGCGTGCTGTGTCCCTGCAGACCATCCCCATCTGGCAGAACAAGCCCCATGGCTCAGCTCGCAGCGTGGTCAGGATGATCGGCTCCAACCTGCCCCTGAAGCCCTGTCCCAGGGCCACCTTCGAGGTGAGTGTCCCCTGCCTGGGCACCTGGGGCAGCACAGGGCACTGCCAGCAGGGCTGCTCTGCCCCCACACGTCTGCAGAGCTGCAGCCACAAAACTTACGCCAGTATGGTGAAGTTTAGGAATTCTTTTTGTAATTTATTTTTTCTTGAATTCCGTTCTTGTCAAGTGACCTCTGGCAGTGTGAGGAAATCCCTGCTCAGGCAGTGCCTGAGCTGAGGGAGATGGAAAGGTGGAGCTGCTGCCCCAGGGTTTTGCTGTGTGACCTGCAAGGGGCCAGGTGCCCTCTGGGGCTGTTCCAGGACTGTGGAGTCCCTGATGTCACCCTTGGAGTGGCAGAGGGTGGCACGTGGCCTTGGCAGCGCCTGGCCTGGATCAGGTGTCCCCTCCTGCCTCACTCACACAGCAGGAAGGAGCAGCAGCTGGCCCAGGGAAGGATTTATTTCCCTGGTCCAAAACCTCAAACAATTGTGCAAATTTAAGGAAAACTGCTGGAATTGCTGCTGTGTGTGTGCCTGACCCAGCTGCCCACAGCACAGGGGCTCTGGCAGCACACCTGGGGCAGCCCCAGGAGAACAAACACCCTCTCCTCAGCAGCATTTCCCCCTGCCAGGTGCTGCCCAGCGTGTCAGATCTGTACCTGGGGGATGTGCCCCCCGTGCCCACCCTGGCTGACATCGTGTGGATCGCAGCTGACGATGAGGAGACCTACGCCAGGGTCAGGTTGGTTTCCTCTGCTCTTCTGGCACAGAGCCACACTCTGCTCTCATGGCCACAGCTTCCAGTCCCCTCAGGGTCCCATGTGGTGCCTCTTGAGAGACATTTTTACCCAGAGAGGGGGAAAAATGACAAAGTACCTGCAGAGGAATTCCTGTGGGAAGTGCCAGGAGCCTGCTCTGTGCTCAGTGTCCTGCTCTGTGCACTGTAACTGCTGCTCCAAGGGGTTTTCTGGCCAGGAAAGGTTGAGCTCTCCCAGGACTGAAATGCCCCTGGAGACACTTGCAGGGATGCAGGGGCAGCCACAGTTTCCTGTGTTCCTGGTGCTGCAGAGGTGCTCTGTGCTCTCTGAGGGGACACAGAGGCTTCGTTTGTTTCCTTGGAGGCTCTGCTGCCCTCAGGCTGTGCCAGGCTTTGTCATGGCCAGGTTTGGCCCCAGTTCCTGACAGGGTTTTGTCCCAGCTCTGCTGCCCTCAGGGGAGGTTTGGCCTCAGTTCTGACGGTTTTGTGTCCCCAGAAGTGACACTCGCCCTCTGAAGCACAAGTGGAAGCCGAGTCCCTTCACGGTGATCCAGAGGAACGCCTCGGTGCCCAACCTGAGGAAGCAGGAGGAGAAGCTGCTGGCGCTGAAGAAGCCTGGCTTGCCAGCCCTGAGCAGGACCACGGAGCTGCAGGATGAGCTGAGCCACCTGCGGAGCCAGATCGCCAAAATCGTGGCTGCACAGTCAGGTAGGGCCGGGTTCCTGCTGGGGCTGAGCCCTGGCTCCCTCTGGGCTGTTTTCCCAACATTTACCCTGGCTTTTACATTCCTTCCTCACTCCTCCACCACTGCTGACCAGCAGGCGTGGATCAGTATCTGTATGAACCAGATAAATTCCAAAGCAGCAGCTGCATTCAGGGTGCCAGATCTTCAGTCTCACTACAAGACTCAAATGTACAAACAAGACACAATTGATTTTTGTAAAAAATATTTTATAATACAATACAATACAATACAAAAAAGTTTTTTTGTAAAAAGGTATTTTGTTTAATGGTTCACCTGATTTACTTCCGGGGGCTGAGCCCTGGCTTCCTCAGGCTCACTCTGGGCTGATTCTCAGCATCTCCCTGGGTTCCTTCCGGTTCATTCAGGGCTGGTTCCCAGCAGTTCCCTCGGTGGGCGCTGGCCCTGGGGGCAGCTCAGGTTTTGTATTTTGTTTGGTTTCACACTCTGTTGCTGTGAGCTCACCCTCCCACCTCCCACTCTCTGTCCCAGCCTCGGCCCAGCTGACCCCGGACCTGTTGTCTCCGGGCAGCTCCAACGCCTCCTCTCCCGTGCACTGCTTCGGGCCCTCCTTCCAGTCCACCACGTCCTTCGTCATCAGCGACATCACGGAGGAGGAGGCGGAGCTGGAGAG